GTATTTCATTTTAGTTAATTGTAGTAAATAACTTTCTCGCTTTGTGTTTTATATAAGCATTACCAATTTTATCTGGAGGTCTTTATGTATATCTGTATTATGTATTACTTAAGAACTCATCAACATTTACTATACGTCTATACTAATACTATACTGTCTAAAGCTGTAGTAATACAAATGTTGTGTGTAACTTTTATACCAAACAGCACAATAAGGTTACAAATTTTAATTTTTTGTAGTTTCAGAATATTCTTCAAATAAGTTCACCTAATGGTTGTTTTTGTTTCTGGGTAGATCCATTTAATACCTATTTTAAAAATTAACTAAGTAAATTTAATGCGAACGAATACAGTCTGAAATCTAATTTAATTTATAAACATTAACATATCTCATTAATCATATCAAATTTCTTTAAGAGTAAAAGTTGAAAACCATTCTATTAAAAATTGATTCCATATATATTATTTAAAAATAATTTTATTGATGTTGAAATTTGATTCTGTAAGGCCCATTTATTGCTTACCATATAGGTTTCTACAGTGTTTTTTCTTCGAACATTACTTTAACGATTGATCCATAATTAAAGTAGTTAAAAAAGATTTCTCTGACTCACAGAATCAGACTACTTTAACTATGTAATCAATAGAAGCAATATTCAGAAAATATATTTAATTTATTATTATTAACTAAACAAATCAATAAAATTATTAACAACGAATATCTGTTGGCAATATCTGATAAACATATAATTATACGGGTGTGTACATATATTTTTTTATTGAGCAAATATACATATAAACATAAAAAATAATTGCGGTTGTATTTTTCTGTATAAGTATATTCTAAGTAGCACACAAAAATACATTCCACATACTCGCATTCGAATATATTTGAAAAAAAATATTTGGAAACGTTGACTTTTGAATGCTTTTTAGTTTAGTGACGTAAATATATTTTTTATGAATGTATTCTCATAAAATGTAGATATATCTGAATATCGTTGCTCATACGTAGTGGTGTACTGTGCGTACTGCAAATATAAGTGAAATATTTATAAATAACACTCAATTCAAAATTATAAATAAAAACTTCAATAAAAATTTTAGAGCATATAGCAACAGATTTTAAAATATTATGTATTAAAATAGTTATATTTTTAATTTTAAGGTTATGTACAATAAGCCAAAGACGAAAATTGTTGAAAAAATACTTCATATTCTATACTTTCATTGATAAACCATAATCAAAAGAAATTTATGTTAAAATGCTTTTTAAAAAAAAATTAATATTAAGAACTATAGAAGCACAAGGATAATATTTCTAACATTATTATGTATGCCAGAGGAGAGTATTGGAGGTATATAACTTAGTGCCAATGCAAACTATAGATTTTTAAAAAGTGATTTAAAGTTAGTTTAACTAAAATTTAATTTAATTTAATTTTTTTGTTTTGTTTGTTTTTTATTATTTTTGCTTTATTGAATAATTTGTAAATTCTTATTTATTGTGTATATATTATTTATATCTTTTTTTTTGTTAGTTTTTAAGTTAGTTCTAAGATGCAACAAAATGGTTTTTTTCTCTTAACGCATTTTTAAAACAAAAATAAAAAATAAATATAAATAAAAAATGTTTTTAAAGTAACTATTATATCCGTATATATTTTAGGGGCCTCGTCAAGTTAAATATATATCATTTCTAATTTTATTCACACATGTTGTTGATTATCCTTGGATGGATGCAAAATAAAAAGGAGAAAAATAAATTCTTCTAAAACACTACATTTTTGTATCTTATTAATACTTAACTTTTTTTATACGAGTATCTAACCTAACATTTTTTAAAGAGGTTTTCGAAAACTGGTGAACTACAACAACATAAATTTTTTTTTTACTATTTTAAATTATTGAAATTTTGGCTGACCATACAGCATTTTTTTATTATCACAAAATATAATATTTATATATAACTTAAAGATATTGATCTTTAATCTTTTATATTTAAATGATTTAATATTATTTAATAATTTATATGATTTAAATATAATATATTTATATTATGTATAAACATATACCAGCATTACATTGCATATACATGCATACTACATAAATACTTTTATTATGTATAAAATTGCTAATATTATTTAACGAATTTAATTACATTTCTTTTAAACATTTTTTTTTATTAGAAATAATTAATTTAATATTCTGATTATTTGGAGAACTAAATGATATAGCCAGTTACACTAAAGAATTCTTTTCGAATATATACATTTCTTTCATATTTAAAATCGTAAAAGCAGAAAAAATCTATATATTGACTTGAGTTTAAATATATGTTAAATTATTGTATATACCTATATTATATTCAATATAAACTTATTAAAATCAAAAAAATTTTGCGCTAGATCTCAAAAACTTATTTTAAATATTCGAGTCCCAAGTGAAATAACTTATTATATCTAAAAGATAGATTATAAATAAAACTTAAAAAAAAAGGTATTAACTGAATATAAAAATTAATTTTATATTATTTTTTTTTTTGTACAAATTAGTAGCTTTTAAGTTAGAAATATTATTTTGTATAATGGGTTTTAGGCAGAAAATACTAGACTACAGAAATATAATTAAAAAATATGGCAAACACGTATTACAAATACAACTAACAACTGTAAATGTTGCTCGGCAATAAATGAGTACAATGAAAGATTCTTGAAAAAATTCTGTATTATACACAAAATTAAATTATTTGTTTATATTATTAATATTAATTGCTTTTCAAAAATCTTTTTTTTACTTGATTCTAACTTATTTTAAGTATTTTAAGAACAATTATTAAACACAAATTTAAAATCTATAAAAGATAATAATCGACGGAGTATAATATTAATATACAAAAGTTTCCTATTTTGCACATGAATGAAGTAAGGATCCTTTAATAATAATATGTTAAGTTACTATATTTAATAAAAACAAAAATATTACCGATAATATTAAATATTATCTCATGGAAACTACAGCAGCCATTAAAATCTATGTATCAAAATCAGTATGATATCAAGAATGGTTTCTTGATTTTATAAACCTGGGTGGTTAGAATATGATATATTCTAATAAATATATAAAATATTATTAGAACCTATAAAAGGCAGTAGTATTATTGTTACATAAAATAATCTATATAAGTTATTATAAACTTTGAAGGATAGGTATGTCTTTCCTTTTTTATATATGATAGACAGGAAATGATACAAAGCAATTAGGAAAAAACTTAAGTTTAAACATATAAGTATTGAAAAGTTTCGTCATATATAACTACACTGAAGTATTCTATAAATGATCTTCATAAATGAAAATTCTTAAAAGTAAAACTAAATCAAATATTTAGCACAGAACATAGAAGTATGTTATTAAGGCACTCTATGAAATAGCAAAAACAGAGCACTTTGTAGATTTGTTATGGACAAAACTGTGATTTTATTATCAGAGCAAGAAAGCATTTTGTAGATTAATTATGGACAAGACTATGATTTTAGAGTCATATAATTTACAAATCGTGCCCTTTCAAGGAGGTTTTAGAGGTTCAATAAAATTTTTTAAACAAAAATAGTATATGCATGAAGATTTTATATTATAAATATACTATCAGACCTATTCTGTGCACTTTATAAAATTGTCAAACATTGACACTTGTCAAAATTGACTGCTGTAAAGATTTTGGTATTCTGTGACATAAATAAAAAGGTCTTTTCCTTGTTAGTGGTCAATACCTCAAATGCTGTTTACAAAAATAAAAATATGCTCTTCTTAAGCATTTTTTATTATTTGCATACATGACAAATATTCTTAACTAAAATATACGCTCTTTACAAGCATATTTTTTATTGTGATTTGAATGCATGAAAAATGCTTTCGACAATTTAAAATATATGCTCTTTACAAGCATTTTTTACGAACAATTACGAACAGTTACGAACAGTTTTATATACAAAACACTTTACACCATAGTGTGCTGAGAAGCATTAGGTACTTGAGCTTTGAAATTTGTCAAGATGTGTCCAGAATACCAAAAAGCTTTCTGTTTTATAAAAATCAAAAATTTTATTAAAGAATTTGACAAATTTGTCAAGTGCACAGAATAGATCCGTATATGTATATAATATTTGTAAGCTATATAAAAAATTTTAAAGGTCGCAGTGAGCCACTACAAATTAGATCCTAGGCCTCGATATTTTATCGATCTGTCTAAAACATTTTTTTTAACTAATTAACTAATAAACTATTAACTATTAAACTATTTAAAATATTAGCAAATTCATATTGACATGATAATTCTTCAAATATTATGTTCAGCCACATCTTAATTTCGCAAAAATCTTAATTTCATCTTCGTTTAAGAAATTAAGTTGTTTTTTTAATACAAAATTTAGTTAGGAGGTATAGATATTAATTAAAATGAAACGAAGGCTGAAATTGAGATAACGAAAAAGTGACATTTTTTTTAAATGACAATTTAATAAATCTGGGAAATCTAGTGTAAATTTTTAAATTTGAATATGGGGCAAAAACTGTACCTGTTATTAATTTAAAATATAGTGGAAAATAATAATTCATATACCTAAAATCCACTAAAGCTAGTAACAAAATACTACTGAATAAAATTACTGAATGTCATCTTTTATAGTTATAAAAGTGCTGGTTGAAGCATGTAGTTTTTAACATTCGATATGTGAACAAAAAACATATGATTTCCTTAATTTGGGACAGTGTGAACACTTTCGAAATTAACTTAATTTCATTTTTACGAAATTAAGGAAATTTGACTGTCTGAACATAGTATAATAGTCATTAAATAATATTTTTCGTGATTACTATTTTAAAACTAATAATAAGAATAGTATATGGTATTATACATCATATCTTCGATTCTATATAGATATAAAGTAGGGTCCATTATACGTTCTTAATAATATTAAGAGAACAATATATATATATATTTACCTGATTGCTTAAACTCGTAGAACTGTTGTTATGCGAATGATTGCTATTGTTGTTATTGTTGTTATTATTATTATTATTTAGATTGTTATTGGTAGAATTGTTGTTGTTGTTGTTGTTGTGGATACTATTACTGTGGTTAATGTCACTATTTCTATTGTGGCAATTATTGTTAACGTTTTGATGATATTGACTTTGATTATTGTATTCCATTTGATCGAATTGATCTTGTTGTTGGTATTGTTGTTGTTGTTGCTGCTCTTGTTGATGATTATGATTTTGTTGATAGGTATTTGTATGTGTCGTATCGAAAAATGTTTGTAAATCCGAGAAACTGGGAAATTGTGTTAAAAGCGAAAGCGCCATTCGTTTTTCAATTTTAACAATATATATTTATATATATATACTCAAAAAAAAATTTTTTTTTTCCGATCCAAATATATACTATATATGTTTGGGTAAACTTATTTACGTTTTTAATTAAATGGAATATTCCAATTATTTAATTGCTTGCGTTTAAAATAATTATTATTTATACACTTCGCCAACGGTAAATTTACGAACAAAAGAAACACGATTTTTATGCGAAAAAGATTTTTTTTGTTTTTAAATATTAGCTTTGAGTTTTTTTTTGCAATTTCAATTTCAGTTTTCAAATAACAATTTGTTGAAATTTCAAAGATTTTTTAAGGTTTTTAATATTGATATTGTTTTATGTTTTTATTTTTTTAACTAACAACCAAAGCAACATATATTGTTTTATATGCAAACTTGTGCGCTTTTCTCTGATTACATACAGTCACTAAGAATATATATATATGTATATATTTTGTGTTTATTGTATATATATCTAACTTAAATTCATATAAAATTTGTTTTAAATAGTTTTTAATTAGATTTTAAATATAAGTAAAAGTGTTGGTCCTTCGGTTAAGTTAGAAAAGCACGAAAAAAGAGTTATAAAGTTTCTTGATACCAGTAGTTTCACGTTGACGATGGCTGCGCAGTAGAGTATTTTCAATTTTTATCAGCATCTTGTTCATCAGATACATATAACTTTCGAGATACTCACTAAAGTTGCGTTTTAAATGCTGATTTGCTTTCTCCATTTATTGAAAAAAATTAGTTAAAATTTATTAACAAAGGATGCAATGTTGTATTATTTTATTTGAATTTATAAAATATTTAAAAATTTTTTTTAATAATATTTTATTAAAGGGAAAACACTGTCGTCAAATTTTACACATTATTAAGGATTTTTTATTAGATTTTTTTAGAGTGCTTTGATTGTTTAATTTTTATAAGAATTTCACTTTTCTATATAATTTAAGAGCTAAACTAGAAGCTCGCTGCTTTTATAAATGAATTTAATTTTCACTTTTTCTTAAAGAAAATTTGTTTTTTTTATTTTTAAACACACATGTAAGTTTTATGTACTTTAATTCTTTACTCAGTTCACTTATTTTTAAATTTTAAATTTAATTTTAGCTTTTTTAAAATTTATTTAATATAATATAACTATTTAAATTTATTTTTTAATTTTATTGTCGTTTTTGTTTTTTTTTTTTTTTTTTAATTTTTAAATGTTAATTAATTTTAATTTTTATTTTAATATTTTAATGGTTAATGTTTAAAGTTATTTTTAAAATGGGTGGGAAATTTTATTTAAATACTGAATTTTTTTTTAAAAACAAATTATTAATTTTACTTTTTGAAGAGTAAAATTTACTTTGCGTTTATTAATACAAATTTATTAAAATATCTTTTTATATTTTTGTATATATATATGTATTTTTTTTATATTTTTGTGTGGAAAATTTTTCACTGATTAAGATTTTTTGCGACTGGTGCGGTAATATATCAAATGTATACTGCAAATCGTGTTAAAATATTTTCATAAAACACTGGTCTATCTCCTCCTTTAGTCTAATCGGCAACGAAATTCCGTAAACTTTGTTATTGTAAATTTTATGTTTATTTAATATATATGTGTATATACATATAAGCACTCTATATTTGAAATTGTATATGTAAAGTCGCTGATAAAGCTGTTTTATATTCTTTTTTAATAGAAATTGTTGCTGTTTCAATATTTGTATATTTTTTATACTTATACACTTTGTATTTCAACTATGTTGTTGTATTGTAACACGTAAAATCAAGTTTATACAGGAATTGCGGCACAATATTTTAATAATTTTGATTTTTTTTTTTTGGTTAAAAAAAATTTAATAATTTTCGCTTTTTAAATTTTGTTTCGAATTTTGTTATTTGTATTAATTTTTTTTTGTTTTGTTTTTAATTAATTTGTATCAGTAGCGTCCTGATAAGCGCGCTTTTATTTTATAAAAATATTAACTTATATGTTAATTAATTATTATGTATTTGTGTTCTACTCTTAATAGTTTATATGATGAAAAAGGATCTGTGATGCACGTTTGAGGAACGCACGTCAAAGGAGCAATTTTAAGACAACGAAGCTGAGCTCCGCATACCGGAACGAGTCAAGCATTTTGCAAAATAATTTTAGTCTAACAAACCGTCGTACACGAAGTTGAAAAAAACAATGTTTTGTCAGAATTCAAATTGGAAAATGTACGGCCGAACAGTTAATTGTACAGAGAATTACAATTAATTCACGATCATAACAAAGTAATGGTCCAGCAATATCTCCAAGCTGAGTCGTCGTCGTTAGTAGAAGCAACAGCAGCAGCAGCAGCACTAGTTGTTGAGACTCAATTAAATATTATTTTTCGTTGTTGTTGTTGTTGTTGTTATTGTTGTTTTTATTATAAACATTCAATGCGCGCACACAAGTTGCTCCAACACTAGATAAAGGGCTTTTAAACTCACTTAAGTATATTTGAACTTTTTTTTACATTTTATGGCACTCTCATTAACTAAACGAGGAGCTTTATGCTCTCTTTGCACTCAAATTGTACACAAACAAGCAACTTATGTGAAAGTGTAAGTGTGTGTGTGTGTGTGTAGCAAAATAAAAACTAAAAAATTATTTGGTATATTTTTATTTTTGCTTGTTGATTGAATCAGTTATTTCACTGGAGAGCAAAAGAAAAAACTCTTGTTTTTGGTTTTTTTTTGTTTTGTATTTATTGTATTTATTACAAAATGATCAACAATATGTGTGATATTATTATTGTGCATAAATTGTTGTATTTTTTTTTAAATCAACAATTAAGATCTTGTTTACTTCATTACACTTGTTTTTTATTAATTATTTAACCAATAATCTTGTGTGTCTAGTAGTTTAAATGTGGCATACAGTGAGTGCCTTAACACGCGCACACAAAAGCTATCTATCTCTTGTAGAGCAAAAATTATTTAAACAAGTTTTTTATTTAAAAATATCAAAATTATTTTTGCGTATTGTTGCGTACGTATGCGTAACGATAAATTATTTTTGTATTTTTGTATTTAACAAATCACTTGAAAGCGCATAGGCGAACCGAAAACTATATCACGGCACGTGAAACGAGCATGAAATGTACAGACAAACTGTTTTCATACACTCAGCAACACCACTTAAATGACGTTATACACAGATTGTTCAACTAGGCATAGCAGGTGCGTGTCACTCATACTCATACTCTTACCGACCACTATATGTTCCAGTTATGCATATGCAGCATATGATCAGCTTAAATATGTAAGCAAATAAATGTCTTGTCTCTTTTGTCATGTAATGTTGAACCACAGAGACAAGTATGTAAGCAATGTTAAGTTAATGTTAATTCAAAGACAACACAAAGAACACAACAAAGAAAACAACAAATTTATTAAAATAGCATAAATATGTGCTCTTATTGAGTATTGTTGAGAACCTCTTTTAAACAAGAGCACAATGAGTTAAATATCTAACACAAAACAAAACCAATGATTACCTCAAAAGCAGCTAACACCAAAATACAGCGTATTACCAACAACAAATAACCTGCGCGAAAACAAATAAAAACAAAGAAAAAATTGTAAAAAGCAAGAATAACAGCGCAATAAAAAACTATAAACTTGTCTAAATACACAATGTAATGTTAATTTTTTACACACACTCTCTCTCTCACTCTCTTACTCTTTGGCCGTTTATAATAACTCTTAAAACGAAATGCATTTCTTTTGCTGCTACGCACTGCTCAGGTGGATTACACGTACAGCGCAGCTGAGCTGCTGCAACTGTTCAATTCCTGTTATTTGTCTCTACTAGTTTAGTTGAATATTTTTATTATTGGGCGTAGTCAATTTAAAAATAAAATTCATTACTTGTGTCAAAAGTAGTTAACTTTTCTTTTGTAGAAGCATTCAGTCAGACTTTGTATATAAATTAATGCTTGATAAGATAAACTTCATCAAATCATCAAAAGACGAAAGCAAAATAACTACAAGAAACAAATAAAATATATGAAAAGGAAAAAATAAATATAATAAATTCAATTCGTGAGGCAATAAATTTAACCAGGGTTTCCTAATTGTTTATTTTCTAGCGCTGCACTGTACTTTAAATTTTTACTTGCAGTACATTCTATTTACATTGAATTTAAAGATTAACACTCATACGCGCAGTAACACCAAATTTTCTATCTTCGAATTATCTAAAGAATTTTGTTTTTATCTAAACAAAGGCAAATTGTATTTGGTAATAATGCACTTTGTATTTAAAAATTTAACTAATAATGTGTATGTATATTACAAAACATCCCACATTACATTTTACACTACTGAGTAGAATATTCATATAAGAACAAAACAGAAAGATGGCGTAGTATAAGAAGGAAACAAATTCCTGGACTACAAAATATACGCATGTAGACCGGCCTAAAAAAAGATTTCACAACTTATATAAGCGGAACGAAACATAGACGAAATAAAGAATAATATAGCACACCACTCAATAAGTCGTGTGACTGACCCACAGATGGCACTGCCATTGTCAAATCTGTATGACGTTTATAAAGAAGGTACCACGTTTACTCACAGTCGATCATAAACAACAACGTGTTGATGATTCAGAGCAGTGTTTGGCCATGTTTACACGTAATAAATCAGATTTGCGTCGATATATGACAATGGATGAAATATGGATCCATCACTTCACTACGGAATCAAAACAATCATCATCTGAGTGGACCGCAGCCGGTGAACCACGTCCGAAGCGTCCAAAGGTACAACAGTCAGCTAGGAAGGTTATGGCTCAAGTATTTTGTGATGCACATGGTATAATATTCATTGACTATCTCGAAAAGGGAAAAACCATGAATAATAATTAATACACGGCATTACTTGATCGTTTGAAAGCAGAAATTGTGAAAAAACGATCGCATATGTCGAAGAAAAAAATGTCAAGTCAATAAAAACGATGGTAAAATTGCACGAATTACACTTTTAATTGCTGCCTCATTTACCGTATAGTCCAGATATGG